AACCCCCCCAATGTGTGTGTGAGTTGCGTGTTTGACACGTTTTGTGTCTTTGTCACTGAATTTTGTTTGTTTCCGTAATTGTTTTGGACTTTTGGTTCACGTTGTGTTCTTCCATTTTTTGTGCTGAATCCAACCGTATAAAGAACGTAAATTTTGGACATACAGTTGGAAAGTTATAGGTCAAACACTGGACAGAGGTCGAAACTGAAAAAATAGAGAAACGAATCTGTCCAAATGGTGATAAAAGGGTGATAGAAAGTGTTGTTTGTGTTTTTCACTAGTTTTCTTGTGTTGTTCCATTTCTTTTACACTTCTTTACTCATTTCTAGTTTCCCTCTTTCATTTGTGCATTTTTGGTGTGTAAAATAAGTGTTCTTTATGTACTCAAATTAGAACTTATAGGAAGCCGACAAGTTCTTCGTGGGATCGACCCCGTACTTACATAATCTATACTTCGATAGATTCGTGCACTTGCGGGTATTTTTAATTGGTTGTTTGCACATTAATTTGTGTCCTCTTAGGAATGCAACAATTGGTGGAAGGAGAATGCTACAAAATTTCCAATACTTTCCAATATTGCAAAAGATGTATTTGCTGTCCAATCATCAACCGTGGCTTCGGAATGTTCTTTTAGCACGGGAAAGAAAGTTGTAGATCCCTTTAGGAGTTCATTAACTCCAAAAACCGTAGAAGCATTGATTTGTTGTAGTGATTGGTTAAGGGCGGAGGAGTTTAGCTACTACAAAGAACCCGCATTGGATGAGTTAGATTTCTACCAAGCTTTGGAAAAAGTGGAAAAAGGTTTTCTTTCTTTTCTACATTAATCAAAATTTATAGTTTCTTTATGTCTTATTAATGCATATATTTATTAAACTGTTTTTTTTTCTTTATGCAGAGGTGCTAATTTGATTTGAGGAGTATGAAACTCATGGAATTTTATTTCTATTTGTAATGGAAATTTACTTGTTTTGATTTGATTTTCTGTTATGGTCTGTAATAATTTCTGTGAATTTGGACATGTGTGATGGATGATGATTTTCTTAAGTTTTTTAACTTTGCAAGTATGCAAATTGTGATTGAGATTACTCTCACAATTTGCTTGGTTTGTAATATATATTTATGTGAATTTGGACATGTGATGGATGATGATTTTCAGGTTTTTATTTGTATTTGAATGATATATGCTAAAATTGTGCAGAAGTACAGAAACTGGAAAAATATACAGGAGTCCTAAACTTTAATGGGCCTAGAAATCTGACCCCAAAAAAAAATGGGCATGGAAAATTTAAAAAAAATAAACCACCTTCAGTTGTTGCTCTTTTTGGGCCTCGGCAGAAACCTCCACCGACCCAACCCGACCCAACTTATTCGGGTTTCGAATTCATTCAAAATTGGGCCTAAAAATGAGATGTACGGTTTGCTCAATGGGCCTGCCGACATGACCCGGTTCGGTGACCGATTTGGGCCTATACCCAACCCGACCCGATCCGTGTTCACCACCACTATTTTTCATAAAAACTCAAGAGGAGGGGCATCGACACAGATGCTATAACTCAAACTCTTGTCTAAGGGAGCAATTACTCCAAACCACAGCACTTGTGGGTCCTTTGCCACTGTGGACATTTTTATTTGTAAGCTAATGTAAGTTTTTTGGTTTAAATTTATAAGAAATTGATATTAAAAAACAATGGCGAAATGGTCACTTTATGGGAAATAACTACAGATACTTTATGGGAAATATCTACAGATAGCCAATGCTTATTTTTCAACGGCTAAGAAATTGATGCACACAAATTTACTTTTTTAACTACATGTTCAGACTGCAGACCAAGTAGAAACTAAAGAACTTAGGGAGACTTCTTGTGTAACAAGGGATCAGAAATGACTTGGGGCTCAAAATCCGGCTTCAAATACTGAGCAAGCAAGTCAGCATACAGCTCATAACGAGCAGTCATTCGGAATCCCCACTTGTCTTTTATCTGCCTACATAGGTTGAGGTCCATGTCTGAGATCAACAACCCATCCCTATGGCGTGATAGAGAAGGAGTGCACGAGGCATCTGGGGCTGAAAAATGGCTGGATCCGTAGAAATGCCCGAAATCTGCATGTTCCGGCTTTCCATCACCGGAAGTGAATGGATTTGGGAAAACCTCAGTCCCTACACGGTTGATTGACCCAACAAAGTAACTGTTTGCAATTGCAGCATTACGGGCCTACAAAACAGAACAGTCGAATGGCATGTTACTTGACTACACAAAACAGTTCATCAAGGTTCTGAAAATAAACTGTCTATAAGATCATTAAAGGAGAACAGCTCATATTTGATCATCCAAGAAACATAAGATAAAAATGGTAAATTGACAATTTGTTAAAGATTGTGCAAGTGTCCATATGGCTTTATATCCTAGAGACTTCATAGCATTACAATTACAGCTAAACTAAGAAATCAAGGGCAATTCCCCTTGAAGAAAAAGAGGCTTTTCTCTTAAACATAAAAATATTTCCTTTCTGTGTATGACATTATTTTGTATCACAATTCGTTTTGAAATCAGAAGTTTAAAAAATCTGAGAGAGAAATCTATTGCAAAAGAGTGGATTATAGAATGAAGAATGAGTAAAAAGTAACCTTGTCGAGGACACACGGGGTTTGCAAAGTTAAAAGAGAGAAAATATCACAAAACAGTGGCTCATAAAAATAAAACAGATGGGTAATAGTTAACCTCAATGGGCCACATCGGTTCGCTGAGTTCACCAACAGTGGCGGAAGGGTTGAAAACAATCTCTGCACCATTCAAGCCAAATGCTAACCAATTTAAAGGATGGTGCCTTCCATAGCATATGTTAACAGCAATTTTCCCAAAAGCTGTCTCAAAGACTGGATGTCCAGTATTTCCTTCCATATAATACGTACTCTCGTTGAAGTCACCAACTCTTGGTATATGGTTCTGTCCATTATCATGTGTCAATATGCCTTTCAACAGAAAAGTATGCAAGTAAAAAATAAGTTAAAAACAGATACACTAATTCACTTACCTTTCGATGCTTGCCAATTATGTTCCCATTATTTCCAATTACGACAGCAGTGTTCCAGAGAGTCTCTCCATGGTTGACATCCCTCTCAAGAATTGGACTTATAATGACCATGTTGTACACTCGTGCAAAGTCCTGGAGGAATCGAGTTGATTCCCCATCTACAGGCTCTGCAAATTCACACCACCTCTTCTCCCGTGTACAAAAGGCAAATGGCATTGTCCATGCTTCCTGGATTTAATTTGAATGGATTTGCTTGAAAATATCAGACAAAAGTCAATAAAACAGAGACCACACGGAAGGAGAGCATGACGAACCTGCAAGCATAATACATTGACACCTGCAGCACCTGCAGCATCAATTATTGGCCTTAATTTCTCAAAAACAGCCCTCTTCTGGTCCAAAAAGTGAGCAGTAGTTGGAAGAGCTATAGAGTTTTGAATGAGACCAACCCTAATTATTCGAGGTTCTCTCAACAACTCTGTGTCAGCAAGAAAGCAGAAGGCCTGAAAGAATATATAAGATCAACAGTCCAGACTAGTCAACAGCATAGCAGCAATTGATTGTATGATATACCATAGGAGACATGCCCAGGTATAAAAATTCAATTACACTCTCTAGAAACTAATTAAAACACATAAGGATAAGAGATATAGCATTAAAGTTGTCAAAGAGATTCTAAGATCAGGCTGTCCCAGAAGGAGACAAGGAGAAGGGGGTTGGGTTAGTTGAACAGAAATGCTGCAAGAAGCTGGAAGATTAGAGTGCTATGATTCGGTGTGTAAATTGCTGAAAGTCTACACTGTTGTTTGGATTGAATAGCTAGCTGAGAGACAGATTAGTTAGTTTACAGTTATGCAGTTGTGCAAAAGGAGAGTTGTGTTGTAATTCACTGAAACAGAGTGGATGCAAATCCGAAATTCATTTCAATAAAACTTTCCTTTCAGAAAGACTTCATTTTTCTTTAAAACACTTTTGGTTACAGACATCCAAGAGCCTACTAACAGGGACTTCCGAAGCCCTGTATATCACACCTCCCTTGACTATGAACTACTGGGATGTGAATGGTAATCGCAGGTCATTGCACAACAGTTAAAGTAACTTCGTACCTGGAGGTCAAAATTATGTCCTGAAGAGAGTGCTTTAGCAGATTCTGGGAGAGAAATTGTTTCAAGTGCCTTACCGCGATTCATACCCAAAAGAATACGGTTGACTTCCTGATAAACGCAAAATAACAAATAAAACCAATTAACATGGGGAGATTTAATGGTCTGATTTTCACGGAAATTGCATGAAAACATATCCGGGTACAATCCGAATGTCCATTTTCAAAGCATCTAAATCTGAAAACCAAATCCTCCAACCTCAAACTTCCAATAAATATGTTAAGAATTCAAATATGAAATCTTCAGACTTGAAGGAAACGAAAACAAACTCAGACTAAACCGTTGACTCCAGAGCAAACTGTCTCATGAAAAAAGGACGCAAACCCAACAAAGAACCAATCAAACTGATCACAAATCGATCACCAAAAGCACCAAATGACAATAACCCGACAGAAAGACAATTGAGAAAAGTGACCTGCAAAAGGTGGGGCTTGAGATTTTCGCTGAGGAGGCGGTGAAGTGAATCGTACCCACAAATAGAACCGTCGCTGGAAGCCTTGGTTGCTTCTTGAACTTGCCCATTTTGGGCGTCAGTGTTTTGGGCTGGTTTTTCCATTCTCTCTGTCGTGTTCTTCGTTTTAGACAGGGGAGCTGGTGATGCGTTTGTTCAGCTGCTGATTGAATTATGCACATGGAAGAGAGAAGTGTGATTGTAGTTTTGTGAATATTTTGTGACGTGTGACGCATGGAATATTCCACTTTTTTTTGTCTTTTTCTATTTTTTATATGAGTAATGCTATTTGGACACACAACATTGACACACTTAGTGACACCCGCTGATGTATCAATGTATCATTTGCTCTTCTTTTCTCCTCGTTTTCTGTTTAGCGAATGGTACATTGACACATCAACGGATGTCAACTAAGTGTGTCAATGTTGTGTGTCCAAATAGCATTACTCTTTTTATATAGATAAGGTGTGTTTTTTTTGTCTTTTCTAATCGAATTCTTTTTTTTTTCTTTTGGGTGTGAATGGCCTATTCGACATTATTCAAATTTTTTTTTTTGGTTTGAAACATGAGGTGGTCCTGAATGGGCCCCAACTATGGGTGTTTAAGCCTTAACCACAACCCAGACTAATTCCCACTCACACCGGGTCGGCCCGTAAGGGGTAAAGTGCTGGCCAAAGTGGTGACTCCATACGAGAGTAGGGATTGAACCCCTAACATCTCTTAAGGAATGAGAATGCTGAACCACTCACACCAACCACCCGGGTTACATTATTCAATTTTTTAATTGGACAAATCTCTATTTATTTATTTTATGCCCAACAAATTGACCGATATAAACGCCACAACTTTTTTTCATCTTAGATTTGTATTTAGTTCTATTTCAACATATAAGACGTTAAACGACATTCAACCAAACGATTGTTTCAATTAAACATTGATGGCATGTTTACATTTTTATTTTATTTTTTCTGAATATGACATGTTTACTAATTCATAATTGGATGAGGAGGAATTGAATTGAGGAGAGTTAGAATTCGGATTCCTATTGAAGTTGTTTACTAAATCATATAAAATCAAGGTAGGAGTGGTATTGATTCCTTATAAGCTATTTACTAAATCCATATGAATTGGAATTGAAACCAAATTGATTACTAAAGTGCCCTCGTTGTTGGGTTAAAATAGATGGCAAATTTGGAATTAAAAAATTGTGTGAGGATATGTTAGGTAAAAAGGATGGATTCCTAATGAGTTAGAATTCGAGGAATTAGAATACTACATCCCATCCAAGAGTCCAATTCCTCGAAAATCAGGAGTTACTCCTAATTTTGTGTGGGTTCCACTCGCATTTTCATTCCTCCATGTGAAGTAAACACATGTGTATCCATAATAGGAATTCAACTCCTTATTTTGATTCCAATTACGGATTAGGGAACATACCATAAACTATCACACTATTATTTAAACGACTAAATAGGTTTTTAATTCGGCAGATTTTTTATAAGAATGATCGTTGAAAATGAGTTGTTGCAATCATCATACAATATTGCAAAAGGAGAAAAAAAAGATAGAAGTGGAAGGTTAAAAAGAAAGGTAGCTAGAATAATTCACCAATCATAGCTCATTTGAATGAATTATTTGGGTTTGGATATTGCCATAAATATCATTTTCCAACAAATTAAAGATTTGAAGGAATTATTTGAACTTTAGAAAGTGCAATAGTTGTCCTTTGCCTATGAGTTGGAGCACATGTATCGTCTACTTATTCTCATATTGAGTTCAATTTCATTAAATTGTCTTCTTATTATCTTAGTGCAACTGCAATGTGGAGGTGTAAAAGGAAATGTAAACCACTTTTGCATCTTCAATTATCAGAAAGTGTTGCGGTGGGCAGTTGTACATGGGGTGTAAAATTCACAACCGACTGAATAATGTAAAAGTTCTACTACAAATACATCCAAAATTACATCTTCACAAGTGGGACAAGGTGCTAATAAGTTGGAAAGATAAGGCTAGTTGGCACTGGATAAGAGCATCTCCAGCGCAAAGCTCCACCTCGGACAGGGGGGGGCCTAGGCCCGCGAACACATTTACAGCGCACTTCAGCAGCCCCGGTAAGACTTGGGGCCTATCAATTCGGGCAAGACCCAAGGCAAAATCAGCCAATTCTCCTGCCCGAGGGTTGGTCACGTCAATACTTAGGCCCCGTTTGGGATTGCTTTTTTTGGCCAAAAACCTGCTTCACTTTAAAGTTAAGCAGTTTAAGATGTTTGGTAAAAATAAAATATCCCGATTATTTTAAAAGCAGTGGCCTTTTGACAACAGCTTTTAAAAGCAGACTCTGGGTTGCTTTTCAAAGTTGCTTTCAAAAGAAGCAGAGATGAACCTTTAATGAATCTTTTTAATTCCCAAAATACCATCATTTATTTTTAAAAATGGCACCACCTCCACTTCCACATCCAACTCCACCACTTGCACCACCACATTCACCACCTCCACAACCACCGCCACCGCCACCACCACCACCACCACAAGCACCTCCTCCTCCAAGACCTCCACATCCACCACCGCCTACACAACCAACACCACCACCACCACCATGCTGCCACTACTACCACCACCACCACCTCCACAACCGCCATCCCCACCACCACCACTACTATAACCACCAACTCCACCTTCATCACCACCACAACCTCCACTCCATCACTATCACTACCACCACATGATTAGTACATAACACTTTTAACATCATGTTTATTTGAGTCATTATTAATAGTTACAATAATTTTATATTAAAATTTACCAAACGGTTTTGACATTGCTTTTTGTACTAACAGCACTTTAAAAATATTGTTTACCAAACATGGAGCTAATCTACTTTACAGCTATTTATTTTCAAAGCACAGCATAAGCAATTTTTTTTAAAAGTGACAGCAATCCCAAACTAGGCCTTACGCCAACCAGCCAGACGTCAACGCACGATTTTGAATTTTCACCTGGGGTGTTCGATTCATTATTTCTACTCCAATCCAATGGCTGCTAATTTTTATGTAAATTTTTTTTAACAAAATCGAACAAATTTGTAAAAAATACCAAATTTTTTTCTATAAATTTAACCTACCAATATTATTCACTTTCCATACCAAATCTTCATACAAATTCTTCTCCTTCCAATATTATTCACTTTCTACACCAAAATTTATACTACTAAATTTCATTTGTGTAAAAATGCAAATGGCATCTTCCATCGAAGCCGAAGGGTCGTGGATAACCATGGAAGATGTTTTGTTGCGTGAGTGTTGGGTCCAAGTTGGTCATTGCTCGATCACGGGCAATGAGATGAAAATCTCTCATATGTGGATAAAAATTCATGCCGAATTTTGTTAAAGATCACGTTCGACTCATACGGAAATGACCTTGGCTAGTAGGTAGAAAATTTTGAATAAAGAGTTAGGAAAATGGAGAGATGCGTTGGCAAAAGCGAGAGACAACGTTCAAATTACAAACATCATACATGATTTTTTTGAACAAATGGGGAAGCATTCTATATCGCCCTCAAAAATCAAAACTAGAGTACAACAAATTTGAGATAAAGTAATCTTTCAAGAGATTCTTACCGCGAGAGTGCCTACGTCTGTCCACGTTTTTGCCACGGTTGGGTTGTGAACCACGGTGGTGTTGGCTTGATTGATGGAGCATACCCACTGCTATAGCAACTTGATCATCATCTTCTTCCCACTCCCTTTCTTCTTCAGCACATTTGCGTATTCGTTCTTCATTTTCTCGTTCGGCCCTCTCCAACAACCTTCTCATGTAAGACATTGAGAGTAGAATGTGTTTTTTAAAATCTGAGAAATGAAATGATAGAGAGAATATGGTGTGAGAGATCTGAGTTGAGGCTGTGGTTTTATAGAGGGATTTAGAAGATAGAAGGGACAATTGTAGCAACTGAAAATCTTATCTGAAATTTGAGATGTGAATTTATAATAAATATGGACATGTGGCAACTGAAAATCTTATCTGAAATTTGAGATGTGAATTTTATAATAAATATGGACATGTGACAGCCAAAAATCTTATCCGAAATTTGGGATATGAATTTTATAATAAATATGGACACGTGGCAATCGAAAATCTTATCCATCGACCGGATATAGATTAGCTCTATTTGCTTTACTGTCAACTGCAACATTTCATGTCTTTGTAGCCAAACCCAGCAGCTCCCCGACTCCCACCACCACCACTATGTATCTCAAGTTCTAAACCCACAATTCCAACCGTTCAATTTTTTTTTTGGTCGAATCCAACCGTTCATTCAGAAGTAGTCAATTTGGGATTCTCTTCAACCACTTTAGGCCGACATAAAGCTCTGTTAACAAAAATCTTTCATCTCATGAAAAGAAAAACTCATAGATTAACAAATATCCCGCTTTGCTAATTTACATTGACTTTTAGGTAAGGACATGTTTGGTGCAGTATAAAAGCTTCTAAAAAATCCATTGTGCCACCACGTGGCCGGTACCTTTTTTTTTTGGTGAACACGTGGCTCGTCCTTTCAGTTCCTTCAATAACAGGTCAAAGAATCCCGCTTCAAACACTCAAACGAAAAACAGAGGGAGAGCCAAATCCATGAGCGAAACAGAATCTATGCGTTGCAGAATATGAGATTTTCTCACTGAATAAATTAGCTGAAAATTTTCTCGGAGCCGAGAAAGCGCGAGAAAATGTCGACAAACAATGGAGAGGTAGAGGAAGGAGGAGGGAGCGGACGGCGAACATCTCCAACTTCGAGTAACACCAGACTGAGAATCAAAGCCGACCCTTTCTTGGTGTGCTGCAGATGCTTCAGCGTCATCACTGCTCTCACTGCCGTTCTCTGCATCGTCGTCAATGTCTTCTCTGCCATTGAATCTTTCAAGGATGGATCTGATGTACTCTCTCTCTCTCTCTCTCTCTCTCTCTCTCTCTATACATATATGTGTATATATTTATGGAGTTGTAGATTGGATGATTTGATTGTTTGTGTGTCGGTGAATTGTAGGTTTTCGACGGGATATTTCGGTGTTATGCTGTTTTGGTTGCGATTGTGGTGGTTGTGGCCGAGACCGAATGGGCGTTCTTTATCAAGTTCTGGAAGGTTCGTTTTCACTTTTCACTATTCTTAAGCCCTAACACATTTTATCAAAGGAAAATTTCGATTCTTAGAAATTAATTTTTAAGCAATTTTGGTAGCTGATTTTAACCTTAACACAACAAATTTATTACGAACATTGTGCGGTTTCTATGCTCTAGTTAGAAGACTCAGAGTCCAGAGTAAAAATGTGATTGAAATGTTTTATTTCTTTCCTTTAATTGTGGAAATCTCCAAATCTGATCTCGGTTAGAGTGATCGTAACCATAACTTGTTTCAAGGAAAAAGAAAGGAGAAAATATTGCTTAGAGGAGTAGAATCTGAAACTTTCACCATAGGAGATGTAGGTGTTGTCAAATGATACACGCTTTGGACTGAATGGGTGGGGAAAAGAATTTTGTTTTACAAAGAAAAATTATGTTTGGTGTAAAAGTGGACAAAGGAAGAAAAGAAAAGGTTTAGATTTCCATACGTTCTATTGTTGGCTTTTTATAATGAGAATGAGCAAAAAGAGAAGGATAAAAAAAAAATTAACTGAAACTTATGCGCAATTACAAGGGGAAGTTGGCTTACCAAAACAAAAGATACCAAATTTTGTAGTTTCTTGTCATATTTCCCCTCATTTACTCCATGCAACCTAAGCACAAGAAAACATTACAACTTTCTAAAAACAGTCTCTCTCTCTCTCTCTCTCTCTCTCTCTCTCTCTCTCATTTTCTCTTGCTGTACAAGAGCCAAACATAGTGTAAGAAGACATCTCCTTTATGGATGCCTTGAACTGATTATAGGTCAGTGTTCCAAAGGCCACTCCAATGCTCCTGATAGAAACAGACTAATTCTTCTATCAAGGATCAAATCTTCCCAAGGAAAATATGAAATGAACTTAATCCACATGGAATAAAAACTTATTATTAGATTTTATAATTCCTCAAATAAGGTACTTGATCTTTGTGATGATCAGGGACCCCCTTTCTCCCCAACAACCCACAGGAGGGGTTTTGCTAAGATGCGATTATAATTCCCAAACCAAAAGGATTGAAATAATAAAAATGAAAAAGAACCTGAGAGAGTACCAACAGTAAGACAGGCACTTGATAACATTCAAACCTTTGCTGCTAAGTGCAATCGTGATGAATTTCTGTCTCCATTTCTCTCATTCTTACTCTGTTTAGGAAAGATCAACAATTTACTGTTTTACAGTAACTCAAAATTTCTGGCAATGTTGGAGTTATTATTCAGAATTTTGCTTCTGTGATCTAATTTCAGTATTCAGTTAACTGTTTGCAGGTATTGGAGTATTGGGTTGGTAGGGGTATGCTGCAGGTCTTGTAAGTCTTCAAATATACTCAAAATATTTTGTTTCAGTTTCCTAGAGTATTTCTCTGCACCTAGAGATTGTAGAGCGCACCTCAGTTTGTTCCAAATTGAATATCGTAGCCTTATAACAGTATAATTGTAGCTATGAGGTCCGTGACAAAGAATAATGATGGGATGGAAATTAAATTTTATGCTTGACTTCGACTGAAGCAACTTGTCATATCTATTGCACACCAGCATAAATTTTATATGGTTTCTGAAGTCGTGATTGTTTGTACCAGTGTTGCGGTCATGACAAGAGCTTTTCCTGATGATACTGGTACAAGGAAGACGCTTGTTCTTCTTCAGAACATAGCAAGCTATATGCTCCTTGCTTGTGGTGGGGTCTATATTATTTCGGTAAGTCTCAGTAGAAGAATCCTATAAGAATTCTGGACATTTGTGTGTCTATGCCTGTGTGCATGTTTAAATGTCTTCTTGTAGCTGAGGTTAAAGATTTCTGTCTCAAGAGCATGATTAAAAATTCATGTCTTGTGTTGAGGGCTGCTTGGGAGTGGCAAAACATAACACACCAAAGTATCAGAAAATCTTTTAATATTCAACACTACAATAAGAAAAACGAAAAGCATTATTAATTCCAGACTTTTTTAATGGAAATAAGCCAATTACTAGAGGATCACAGTAATTATTGATAACCCTCACAGAATTACTTCAGGGAATTTGTTGTGTGTTGCGGTAGGGAGCACTAACCTAATTATATGAATGTTCTCGTGATATTTCTGGTTCATGAATTATGGTCAACTAGCAGTAGGAGCTGCTAAGTACATTGGTCAAAGTTCTATCTACTAATCTTCAATATTTGATTTTTTAAGGGAATTCTGTGCATTGGCTTCCTGAAACGGGCTCGGCAGAAGACAGAAATTTCAAGGGAGCAAGCGGTAAAGGATCTTGAGGTAAGCTTTCATATTCCTGGATTTCCAGAAGTGATGTGTGTTACTGGAAGTCCAGACATGGTTCAATGTTCCTTTTGCTTATCATACTTGCTTGTATATGGTTCTTACTACAAGGAGAAATAGCTTTAGCCCTGACATTAAAGGCTTGCTTGCTATAAGCTTTCTGCCATTTACGAGTCTTTGGTCTTTTTAGATAGTCTGTTTATGAGTTAGGTTAATTTGTGTTTGTCAATTGTCTGTAAGTCAAATCTATTACAGAAGTTTGCTTACATTCACCTGTTTGCAACAATCACAGGAGTTGGAGCGGCGAAGGGAAGAACTTGAACACTTGCTTATTGAGGAAAGAGATTAAGACACTATGGTACGGTACCATACCGTACCGTAGACACAGAGTGATTCTCATGAACCTTACTCTTGTTTCAGTATTTGATTCTGCTAGTGAGTGGCCTCAGAACTAGTTACTTTGTAGGAGTTTATTTGTTTGTATAGTTGTGAAAAGGCATGTTATTGATTTTCCAATGTACCGAACATAAGAAATCTTGGCTGTTATTCATTTGTTTAGATAAAAATCTCCATAGGCTGTTTTAAATTGATGGATTGTTTTCTGCCATAAACAGAGGTTTATTAATGAAGTTGTTTTCCCTTTTTGGTTGCGTTTGGCCATGACAAAATTATTAATTTCCCCCAATAACTTAATTAAGATTTAGATACATATAATCTGTACTTTATATTAAGAGAACCCTCTTGTCAGTTGATAGTGTATTTATCCAATGCCACGGAAAGAAAAATTGGGGATAAAAAAGGTAGGGGTATTGAAAGCATTTGCTTGGCTAAGCTGTTTTGTTGCCTCATCCATGTGAGAGGTGAAATGCTAGATTCTCTAGTTGGTCTGACTGTTAGATGTTGAATTTTTTAAAAGGTCAATTTTTTTTTTTTTTGGGGTTTTATCGGGTTTGCACTATATCATAATTGTCAATTTACACCGTAAGCTTTTTTTAAATTGTATATTTGTGTACCCTTGAACTTTACATACATTACTGGAAAAAAAAAAAAATCACATATAGTAATAGTCAAGTTGAAAGATAAAGATAAGATGGCAATTGCAAATTACCAAACTTATATTTTTTTTATTCAACAACTATCATCATCAAAACTTGAACTTATGACCAACCCCACCACCAAAACCCAAAAAAAAAAAAAAAAAAAAA